GAAGCGCCGTAGCAGTATTTTTTGTGTGTTTTAGTTCGTTTTTGTCGCTATCGGACTCGTTCACTGCGGCCGCGTTGCCCCCTCGGCTCCATGAAGCGCTCCGTGTCGCGCGCCGTGCCCACGGCGGTAGCTCTTGCAAGAACTGATTTTTCTACTTTGGTGATTTTGTAGCACGGTGTGATTACTCTGTTTTGTTTTGCTAGTTTCTTTATTGTTTTTCTCTTGCGGATTTGCTGCACTACGGCCGTGTAACCGCGTTGCTCCATCGCCTCTGTGTCGTACATACGTCCTGCCTTCGGTGTTCGTTCCTGTGCAAAGACATACCGTGCGGCTCACAGAGTGCGCAGCTTATGAAAGATGCGGCGCATTTTTCATTAGCCCTAGCGATTTAAAAACCGCATGTAAGCGATTTGGCGAGCGGCGAGACAAGCGACGGTGACCCGCTTCGTTGCCGCGAGGCAAACCGCATGAAAGCGACGGGAGCAAACGACCAAGGCGATGAGCACTAAGTTTTCTAAAAGTCCCAAAACAGAGCTACGCGACGAGCGACAGTGAGGCGTGAACCGCATGTAAGCGATTTAGCGAGCGGCGACGAGTGACGGAGATTTCTCACGGTCGGTTGTCGCTCGGTTTTTAGATTTCTAGAAAACGTCGCTGATCGCCTTGGTCGCTTGCTCCCGTCGTTTTCACGCGGCTTGTCTCGTCGCGCAAGTGACCGAGCGACAGCGAAGCGGGTCGTCGTCGCTTCAGTCGTGGCTGTCGCTCGTCTCGTCTCATTGCTCGCTTACATGCGGTTCAGCCTTTACACACGCGGTACTCGGCGACAACAAGAAAACTAAAACGGCCCGCCCCCGAGATAAACCTCTTTCTTTCTTGTTCAACGAAAGCTCCTTCAACGATATAAAATTGTACGACCGCGTAGCCAAGCCAGTCAAACCGCGACCTCGAAGATGGCGAATCGACGGTGGCGCTCCCTGGCAAAATTGAACCTGCAGGCTCAGTGAATACCGCCTATTGCTATCGAAACACGGGAAACAATGTGAAACTCCTGGTTAATGCTATCCGATTTAGTTAGTGTTTGGTTGCAAACAATGAAGTTGTGTTGGACACCCCTGTGTTGTGTTTTTTTTTCGTCAAATAAAGTTCACGTATAAAAAAACTTGCTGACGAGAACGGAGAAACGACAGTGCAACGTTTTTCTTCGCCACCGGTGCCGGTACGCAGTCGAAGTTGTGACGAGCAACATTCATCTAGTTTTCGCGCCTTATAGGTGCTGACATACGCAGCTCTAGAGAAGGAGAAAAATCATTTCCTTGCCTGAATATATATTTCTTGTACGTTGCGTCACATTATGTATAATACACCTCATTTTGCTACATTTTACTGATCACCGCGAAACCGCACAGGAAGCGAAACCGTGCATTGGTTAGGCCCACGTCAACCACACCGATCAGCTCAGCTGGACCTTGGCGCCTGCCAGGGTTTAGAACGACAGTTTAGTACATATCATATGTTGAAATAAGCAAGACGAAATCTGGTTATATGCAGTAACAGTACCTAAGAAAAGCACAACTGTCCACATTCGCAAAGTTTACGACTATTTTCACACTGCCGTCTGCAACCAGCGACGAATCTGATGAACCTGTCCGAATCTAAATCTCCGGTGATTCGTCCTATCACTAATATTACGTTCACATTATGGACCTAACGGGCGTAACTTTTGCAACAAACGTTGGCACAACATGCATAAACGCGACGTTCAGGGTACACTACTGAACGCAGCGTTCACACCCATTGGAGTAGTGCGCTCAAGTTTCGCCTCTGACTGCTGCGCCACTCGAGACCCCCGTGGGATGCCTTTGAAGTTTTGATATGGCCATTTTCTCCTCGGTAGCAGCGACGGGCTTGCAATTGTGTCGTTAAAAAAGCTGATCACGGCGGAATGTGCCCCTTGATCATTGCCCCTTGATTCCACTCCGGCAGGTGCAGCTTCCAGACGAAATGGTGCGTCGAGACTTTGAACACTAGATAAAAAACAACAAAAAAGCTCATTTCCCTCAGCTTCATTGAAGTCCCTCTCTGAATTATCCAAACGTTATTGATAGCGTGCAAGCAATTATGATAAAAGCAATGCCCCGTCTCTTTGGCGTGAACTACTGCATCTCTTTGCCACAAAGAGATGCAGTAGTTCGATCGAGTCAGCATGAACAGTGCTGCTGCATATTTTAGGGTTTGTGACATGCATATTGTTGTGCATGTTAGGCTTTGGTCATCTGGTCTGTTGGAATTGACTTTTTCTAACAGTTCTTTGTGATGATTTATGGCCCATTACTACACGATGCAGAACTACAACGCAAAATGGTTGCACTTGTGCCCCATAACCGCTGCTACTTTCTTGTACATGGAGTATACACTACTGCGATTCAATTATCAACCTATATAATGTTCACACCTGTCAATTGAATTTGTGGAAAGAATAATGGACACAATCTAGAACTTGCTCTGCTCTTCGGGTTATTTTAGATCGGTTGCTGCCCAGGCATGAGGGCCCGTTGCAGCACTTTTTTTTTGTTTCTGCTGGTAGAGCCCAGAATCTGCAATTTTAAAAGGTTGTGATATTGCGTCTTACAGAAAATTATTGTGGTTATTCTTTCAGGCGCAACCGCTACGCCGCCTACCGGCAGTGCGTCCTGTGGCTGTGGCGGCGCCTTGGCCAGCACAACAGGCGACCACTGCCATCCTGTGTGGTGAAGGCCATCAGGGGCCGGTTTCCCGACACTTTGTATTCTGGCTTTCGGCACAGTCACTGAAAGCCACTCTGGGGGCTCAAACATATGAGGGTAAGTCAAAACGTATCTGCAATGTGGCTATAACGTTTCGTACATTGTATTTACTGACTTCTGTCTTCGTTTATTTTATTGTTATGCCGTTGTGGTTCTGCTATGAAAGTTTGACCATAATTCATTTGTTTTCTCTTTGCTGCAAATAGATCATGGCCCCTCCCTTGGAAGTTTGCACCAAAGAGGAAAAGCGAGCAGGGAACCAGTGTCTCGCTCAACGGAGTGTCTATGAATGGAGCGTCCACACCTTCCGACCACATAAACCGGAACCCTGCTCGTTTTTCCTCTTTGGTGCAAACTTCCAAGGGAAGGGCTGTGATCTATTCGCAACAAAAGGAAAACCAAGGAAGAATTATTATCAAACTTTCATAGCAGGGCCACAACAGCATAACAATAAAATAAACGAAGACAGAAGTCAGTAAAAACAATGTACGAAAAGTTATAGCCACATTGCAGATATTTTCTCACTTGCCTGCACCCCCCCCCTCCCCTCCTCAAGCGGATTCCCACCTTACTGTGGTGGAGTTGTTTGTGTGCCCCAATGACCCTCTTGGGCTATGCCGGCCAGGGTCACCCATGCCGGGCAGGCCAGAGGATAGGGGCCAGACAAAGAGGAATCCGTGGGTTAGTACCCACCCATGCCTGCCTTTGTGTGGCGTTGCCAGTGTCTGGGAAAAGGGAGATTGTGATGGTTGAGGTGAGCCCTGGGTCATTACTGCAGCCTTGGTTAGCTTTGCTGCATATTACGAGTTTTCTTGTTGTGATTACTGTTGTAGCGTTAGCATTTTTACAGCTCTGCTTCATGGAATAGCACAGATTGTCGGCGATGTTAGAAATGTTGAAGTATTGATTTCTTCGTTGATTGACAAAGTGTCAATAGTGCCATGTGATCTTTGAAAGGCACTAAAGATATGTGAATCCGTCATGTATGTTGTGAAGGTAATAAAATGCGATTGCTTTTTTGGACACATTAACCATGTCTTTGTCATGCGAGTTTCTCTTTGGGGAGGTATACAAACATGAGTGGTGTACAGGGTCGTCCACTCTGCGTGGCCAGCGCTCCGCGAAGCGCCGCAGGTGAGCGCCTCGCGAGTTAGGGCCAATTAGTGCGCAGGCTCAGGGAGAGCCAGGGGCCAAGCCTCCCCCGCGTCATCTGCTACAGTGTCGGCACAGCGGCCATGTTCTGAGGCGAAGCAAGCACTGTTCTTACATCCCTGGTGTCACATGATACTCAGAAACTTTGATCTGCAAGTGCTCTGCACAACTTGTTCCTCTGAGAAAGGTAAACCAGCCGGCACACAGCAAGTGTCCCGCACGAGAAAAAATTACTTTGCCACATAGCGAAGTAATTGCCGCGTCGGTTGCTTATGTAGCAGACGACGCAGCAAAGGCTTGGACAATGGCTATCTCTAATCGGCCCCAATTCACAAGGCAGCCAACTGCGGCGCTCCACCGAGCATCAGCCACGCAGTGCCGTGTGCACCCCAACAGTGGACAACCGTGTACATCGAGACCTACTTGCTTATTTGCAGGGCACAATCATGAAGCAATTTTTTTAATATGATTTCACCATTCCTTTATTGGCAGAAAATGCCCTCTATCTATTTCTTATGCCCGATGCACCGGATCCTACAGGTAATTTTTAGGTTACATTCTATCTGCTTCCACCTTCTCTTGATGAGTCATGTGAAACATAAAAGTTATTCCAAACATTTATTTATAACTATCTGGAGTGCAGTGCACCTCCTGGTCTACACAGGAGAGATATCGCACAAAGGTGAAACAAGAGAATGATTCAGATGGGGGAAAACCGTGGTGTAGACTGGCAGTACTGCTTGGATATCATTAAAAATAACTCTGAGTGATCCGAGTTATGCACAACTTTACTCAGCATTGCCAGTCTACCTCCTGGCTGAAAACCCCATTTATTAAAAAAGTCGCAGGCGAGCAGTGCTGTAATCGTGGTAACTCCTCTTCAACCTGTCAGCTTGCCAGCACATGAAATGGAAAATCAACGCCAGGGTATTAGATGCTTCAATTATAAAAAAGAAACGTGCCATGAACACGTTCATTAGTATGCTTCAACTGAATATACATTACACTTTCAGTAAACCTACTATTTTTCCTTTGACAATGTTGAAAATTCCCTGCATGCAATGACAGACCCTGTCCTTCTACTTGGTTGTCAATGTCACACTCCGGTCGAGGTCACATTATGAACAGTGCGTGAGATGGTAGCCCACTGGTAAGTATAGGGTCCTGATTATCTTGACTTCCCTAATGTAGCTGCACCGAAGACAATATACTGACCAGACTTTCTCAAATAAATGTTACGCCTCACTCCTTGCTAACAAATATTGAAAAATGGAGGCCTCCTGATATATGTTTCTTTGCTCGCTGGTGTTCCTTGTCCTCTAACATCCACACTGGCAGGTGATATCAGTCGTCAAAGCTTGCATCTCTCGTGGTCCTGAAATCCAAACACAACTGTTGGAATAGGTCTCAATTCTACTTAAAAATTATTGCAAAGCAACACATATCCTTACTGCAGGTCTCTGGTTTCAGGATTGGCCATTCTTTCCTGGTAGTGCTCACCTGGTGCAAGTGTTGTAAAACAAACTTGCTTCTTTATAAGCTGGTTCACCCTTTGCTGCAGCCAAACTTACTGCCCGGGGCATTTTTCAGAGAAAAAGTGGCGTGGTTACAGGACTGCTAGCATCGTGCAGCGGCCACACTTACTGCTGGCTTTCATGACGAGACTGCGGGACGGTTGAGTGGACTTTGTACTGCCTGGGGCATTTCTGTAGAGAAAAGGTTGCGTAGTTACAGAACTGCTAGCATCGTGCAGCGGCCACACTTACTGCTGGCTTTTATGACGAGACTGCGGGACGAATGAGTGGACTTTGTCCTGCCTGGGGCATTTCTGTAGAGAAAAGGTTGCGTAGTTACAGAACTGCTAGCATCGTGCAGCGGCCACACTTACTGCTGGCTTTTATGAGGAGACTGCGGGACGAATGAGTGGACTTTGTACTGCCTGGGGCATTTCTGTAGAGAAAAGGTTGCGTAGTTACAGAACTGTTAGCATCGTGCAGCGGCCACACTTACTGCTGGCTTTTATGACGAGACTGCGGGACGATTGAGTGGACTTTGTACTGCCTGGGGCATTTCTGTAGAGAAAAGGTTGCGTAGTTACAGAACTGCTAGCATCGTGCAGCGGCCACACTTACTGTTGGCTTTCATGACGAGACTGCGGGACGATTGAGTGGACTTTCTACTGCCTGGGGCATTTCTGTGGAGAAAAGGTTGCGCAGTTACAGAACTGCTAGCATCGTGCAGCGGCCACACTTACTGCTGGCTTTTATGACGAGACTGCGGGACGAATGAGTGGACTTTGTACTGCCTGGGGCATTTCTGTAGAGAAAAGGTTGCGTAGTTACAGAATTGCTAGCATTGTGGCAGCGGCCACACTTACTGCTGGCTTTTATGACGAGACTGCGGGACGAATGAGTGGACTTTGTACTGCCTGGGGCATTTCTGTAGAGAAAAGATTGTGTAGTTACAGAACTGCTAGCATCGTGCAGCGGCCACACTTACTGCTGGCTTTTATGACGAGACTGCGGGACGAATGAGTGGACTTTGTACTGCCTGGGGCATTTGTGTTGAGAAAAGGTTGCGTAGTTACAGAACTGCTAGCATCGTGCAGCGGCCACACTTACTGCTGGCTTTTATGACGAGACTGCGGGACGAATGAGTGGACTTTGTACTGCCTGGGGCATTTCTGTAGAGAAAAGGTTGCGTAGTTACAGAACTGCTAGCATCGTGCAGCGGCCACACTTACTGCTGGCTTTTATGACGAGACTGCGGGACGAATGAGTGGACTTTGTATTGCCTGGGGCATTTCTGTAGAGAAAAGGTTGCGTAGTTACAGAACGGCTAGCATTGTGGCAGCGGCCACACTTACTGCTGGCTTTTATGACGAGACTGCGGGACGAATAAGTGGACTTTGTACTGCCTGGGGCATTTCTGTAGAGAAAAGATTGCGTAGTTACAGAACTGCTAGCATCGTGCAGCGGCCACACTTACTGCTGGCTTTTATGACGAGACTGCGGGACGAATGAGTGGACTTTGTACTGCCTGGGGCATTTCTGTAGAGAAAAGGTTGCGTAGTTACAGAACTGCTAGCATCGTGCAGCGGCCACACTTACTGCTGGCTTTTATGACGAGACTGCAGGACGAATGAGTGGACTTTGTACTGCCCGGGGCATTTCTGTAGAGAAAAGGTTGCGTAGTTACAGAACTGCTAGCATCGTGCAGCGGCCACACTTACTGCTGGCTTTTATGACGAGACTGCGGGACGAATGAGTGGACTTTGTACTGCCCGGGGCATTTCTGTAGAGAAAAGGTTGCGTAGTTACAGAACTGTTAGCATCGTGCAGCGGCCACACTTACTGCTGGCTTTTATGACGAGACTGCGGGACGATTGAGTGGACTTTGTACTGCCTGGGACATTTCTGTAGAGAAAAGGTTGCGTAGTTACAGAACTGCTAGCATCGTGCAGCGGCCACACTTACTGCTGGCTTTTATGACGAGACTGCGGGACGAATGAGTGGACTTTGTACTGCCTGGGGCATTTCTGTAGAGAAAAGGTTGCATAGTTACAGAACTGCTAGCATTGTGGCAGCGGCCACACTTACTGCTGGCTTTTATGACGAGACTGCGGGACGAATGAGTGGACTTTGTACTGCCTGGGGCATTTCTGTAGAGAAAAGATTGCGTAGTTACAGAACTGCTAGCATCGTGCAGCGGCCACACTTACTGCTGGCTTTTATGACGAGACTGCGAGACGAATGAGTGGACTTTGTACTGCCTGGGGCATTTCTGTAGAGAAAAGGTTGCGTAGTTACAGAACTGCTAGCATCGTGCAGCGGCCACACTTACTGCTGGCTTTTATGACGAGACTGCGGGACGAATGAGTGGACTTTGTACTGCCTGGGGCATTTCTGTAGAGAAAAGGTTGCGTAGTTACAGAACTGCTAGCATCGTGCAGCGGCCACACTTACTGCTGGCTTTTATGACGAGACTGCGGGACGAATGAGTGGACTTTGTACTGCCTGGGGCATTTCTGTAGAGAAAAGGTTGCGTAGTTACAGAACTGCTAGCATTGTGGCAGCGGCCACACTTACTGCTGGCTTTTATGACGAGACTGCGGGACGCATAAGTGGACTTTGTACTGCCTGGGGCATTTCTGTAGAGAAAAGATTGCGTAGTTACAGAACTGCTAGCATCGTGCAGCGGCCACACTTACTGCTGGCTTTTATGATGAGACTGCGGGACGAATGAGTGGACTTTGTACTGCCTGGGGCATTTCTGTAGAGAAAAGGTTGCGTAGTTACAGAACTGCTAGCATCGTGCAGCGGCCACACTTACTGCTGGCTTTTATGACGAGACTGCGGGACGAATGAGTGGACTTTGTACTGCCCGGGGCATTTCTGTAGAGAAAAGGTTGCGTAGTTACAGAACTGCTAGCATCATGCAGCGGCCACACTTACTGCTGGCTTTTATGACGAGACTGCGGGACGAATGAGTGGACTTTGTACTGCCCGGGGCATTTCTGTAGAGAAAAGGTTGCGTAGTTACAGAACTGTTAGCATCGTGCAGCGGCCACACTTACTGCTGGCTTTTATGACGAGACTGCGGGACGATTGAGTGGACTTTGTACTGCCTGGGGCATTTCTGTAGAGAAAAGGTTGCGTAGTTACAGAACTGCTAGCATCGTGCAGCGGCCACACTTACTGCTGGCTTTTATGACGAGACTGCGGGACGAATGAGTGGACTTTGTACTGCTTGGGGCATTTCTGTAGAGAAAAGGTTGCGTAGTTACAGAACTGCTAGCATCGTGCAGCGGCCACACTTACTGCTGGCTTTTATGACGAGACTGCGGGACGAATGAGTGGACTTTGTACTGCCCGGGGCATTTCTGTAGAGAAAAGGTTGCGTAGTTACAGAACTGCTAGCATCGTGCAGCGGCCACACTTACTGCTGGCTTTTATGACGAGACTGCGGGACGAATGAGTGGACTTTGTACTGCCCGGGGCATTTCTGTAGAGAAAAGGTTGCGTAGTTACAGAACTGTTAGCATCGTGCAGCGGCCACACTTACTGCTGGCTTTTATGACGAGACTGCGGGACGATTGAGTGGACTTTGTACTGCCTGGGGCATTTCTGTAGAGAAAAGGTTGCGTAGTTACAGAACTGCTAGCATCGTGCAGCGGCCACACTTACTGCTGGCTTTCATGACGAGACTGCGGGACGATTGAGTGGACTTTCTACTGCCTGGGGCATTTCTGTAGAGAAAAGGTTGCGTAGTTACAGAACTGCTAGCATCGTGCAGCGGCCACACTTACTGCTGGCTTTTATGACGAGACTGCGGGACGAATGAGTGGACTTTGTACTGCCTGGGGCATTTCTGTAGAGAAAAGGTTGCGTAGTTACAGAACTGCTAGCATTGTGGCAGCGGCCACACTTACTGCTGGCTTTTATGACGAGACTGCGGGACGAATGAGTGGACTTTGTACTGCCTGGGGCATTTCTGTAGAGAAAAGATTGCGTAGTTACAGAACTGCTAGCATCGTGCAGCGGCCACACTTACTGCTGGCTTTTATGACGAGACTGCGGGACGAATGAGTGGATTTTGTACTGCCTGGGGCATTTCTGTAGAGAAAAGGTTGCGTAGTTACAGAACTGCTAGCATCGTGCAGCGGCCACACTTACTGCTGGCTTTTATGACGAGACTGCGGGACGAATGAGTGGACTTTGTACTGCCTGGGGCATTTCTGTAGAGAAAAGGTTGCGTAGTTACAGAACTGCTAGCATTGTGGCAGCGGCCACACTTACTGCTGGCTTTTATGACGAGACTGCGGGACGATTGAGTGGACTTTGTACTGCCTGGGGCATTTCTGTAGAGAAAAGGTTGGGTAGTTACAGAACTGCTAGCTAGCATCGTGCAGCAGCCACACTTACTGCTGGCTTTTATGACGAGACTGCGGGACGAATGAGTGGATTTTGTACTGCCTGGGGCATTTCTGTAGAGAAAAGGTTGCGTAGTTACAGAACTGCTAGCATTGTGGCAGCGGCCACACTTACTGCTGGCTTTTATGACGAGACTGCGGGACGATTGAGTGGACTTTGTACTGCCTGGGGCATTTCTGTAGAGAAAAGGTTGGGTAGTTACAGAACTGCTAGCTAGCATCGTGCAGCAGCCACACTTACTGCTGGCTTTTATGACGAGACTGCGGGACGAATGAGTGGACTTTGTACTGTCCGGGGCATTTCTGTAGAGAAAAGGTGGCGTATTTATAAACCGGTTATCGCTTCGTTGCAGCCACACTTACCACTGGCTTTGAGGATGAGATGGCAGGCTGCATGGAGGGCATGGCGATGTTCGGGGAGTCCTGTGAAAGTAGAGTCATTGATGTACTAGGACGCTCATTTTAACTGGCAGGTATACTTCGTTCAGGCTGCGGAAATGAAACATGAGTTTAGAGAGTGCCCTTACTGCAGAGTACGGCCGAAGCGGGACCTCCGTGCTTCCACTAACTCCTCCTTTGAAGGCCTGGCAAAGGCCGCAGTCATGGGCGCCGGAAAGATGTTGGTGCTGGCCTTCGCCGCAGTAGCAAGACACCGCCATCGACTATTGATTGCGATCACCTCCTCTTGGAGCTTGTGAACGTAGCCTGGAATTGAAGGTTCTTTTTTTTCACTTTATCAAATGACCGAGCAAGTCAACGACCATAAAATGAATGCCACACTTACTGTAGGTGGGTGCTGTCTTGACGGGACAAGCTGTGTGGTGGCCCTTGCGTGCTTTGGATGTTTTCACCGCCCAGCGTGGCTTGCCCTCTTCGTCTCAGCTTGGCAGCGATCAGCGTTCTCATTGAAATGCAAGATTGCCACTCGAGTCCTGCAGTGAAATGGTGTTTTATTAGGGATGATGTTTGCAATAATAATTGTCATTCGACCGTTTCTCTTGTACTTTGAGAGACCAATATCTAGTCGTTGGGGAAAAGGACTAAGTCAGGTCGTAGTAGGTTCAGGTGATAAACGATTATATGCAAACTGATTAAACATTAATGCAGCTTAATCATAATATTACCTTGCACGCATGCCTTCTGGAGTGAATGCCCGGGACTTGGGAGCGAAGTCAATGAGGACGCTGTGGAAGGATTCCAGGGCGAATGTCTGGCCGTGGGGGGACATCTGGGCCAGGTCCTTCAGGAGGCGCTTGTTCCCAGTGATCTGCTTGTAGTGACTGTAGGCCGGGGAGTCTGAAGGAAGAATGTGGTTTAGGAAAAGCAAACTAGGCTATGAAGGCAATAACTTACTGGGATCCATCCACATTTTTGTGGCTTCGAGAATTTCGTTGTGCACACACCGCGTGTAGCTGCCCCCGTGACCAGTGTGCTTGTCGATGACGTGGTTCTGCATGCTCAGCCAGATCTCGACGAGCAGCTCCCTGTTGCCTCCCGCAGCCATGGCAGACCAGTACATGTGGTTGGTGGTCGCCTGCGTCCACTCTTCTAGGGGTTAACATCCAGCTCGTTTTCGTGCTGCGTTCAGCTTTTTCTTCACACCTAAGATTTGACGAGATAACTCAGATCAACCTGCAGCATATTTCCCTGAAAATGTAGGTTAAATGCAATACTTGTCAAAATTGCTTACTTTTGGAGATGTGCCAAATGTCGAAGTAGTGGGCGGTCCCAGGTTCGTGCACCTCCATGTGTTTTCGTATGGCAGGGTGGCGGTCAGTGCCCAAGGATTTTACATGGATACCTGCACCATATATTTCCAGAAAGTTGCAATAATAAAACTAAATGTGAGCTCAGGTTGCTAAATTTGCTGCGTAGCTGCTGAGCCTTGACTGAGTGCACGTACGTTTCTCCTTGAAAAATTCCAGCAGCTTGATAAGGCCCTCCTTCTCCATGTTGACACTTGCCATGGCTCGCTCCGACTACAAGCAGAGGTGTGGCATATTTTAATCGAGTCATGCGACCAGCAAAGCAGTGTTTATCGTTTCGCTCAGATCAGGTTTCTTACCTCTCCTAGCTGGACTTGGATGGAGTGGAGGATCTTGTTGATCTGCTGAACATGTGCAGTGTAGGTCAGGAACTTGGCAGAGAACCCAGGAGAGTCGAATCTGCCATCGCTGGTGATGTCAACATCCTGGTCCTCCAGCTGTCTGACCAGATCCTGTTGTTCTTGCAGGTAGACCTGTTAATGTAAATGATTGTTGCTGCTCAAACCAGGTGAACCTTACAAAGTTACGGTTATGTGTGCACAATAAAATAAAACTTGCTTATTTGTAATTTCAGTACCTCCTAAATACACAAGTAAATAAATATTTAGTAGTCAACCCTGGCTATGTTGCAGTATTTGTTTACAAAAACTAAAGTGCATTAGTCATTTTTCAACTAAGATTTCACCCTTCTCTGCCTTCAGATCTACCTATTTAAGCATAACCACTAAGAAAAAAAAACAGAAAGCAACTAAGACCCTTTGAAATATTGCTCACTTCGTCGATTGCAGGGAACAGGAGGCTCTTCTGATACGTGTAGAAGGTCTGATCGCTGAAGACCTCCACGTTCATGTGGCGCAGCATCCTCAAGGTGCTTGTGACATTTGATCCAGAGAACAGCAGGTGGCTGGACAGCAGGATGTTTCCAGCTGCCCTCCCGTTCATGAGAGGCTGACTGTCCCATATCCGCTCGTGATTCAGGGGGCAGATGCTTTTCACCTTGATCAGTGTGCCCAGGGGGGTGATTGTGGTGTTGCAGGGCCTTGAACACTCCTGGCAGGTGCTGAACAGCTCCCTCAGGCAGCTCTCAAACACGAGGAACTGTCGCTCCCCCTCTGGTGGGCCTGGTGTGTATTGATCGCTGCAGCAGAATCAAGAAAATATGTAGAAACGAAACGGAATGTAAACAAGAACAGCTTACCTCTCAAAATCTTCGTCACGAGTTGGGGAGTATGTCAGATCGGATCCCGATGAGATGCTGGTGGCTCCAGGGCTTAGCGGACTTAGTGGAACCGCCTCCTCCACAGCAATGGCTGTCGCTGGTGGTGCAGCTGCTGGTTGTGCAGCTACTGGTGGTGTAACTGCCTCCTCCATGGCAATGGCTGTCGCTGGTGGTACAGCTGCTGGTGGTGCAGCTACTGGTGGTGCAGCTGCTACCACAGCAAGGGTGTTTGTCACTGCTACAATTAGAAATTACAGACTTGTAACCTCTATATGCACGCTGATTTCCGAAAGTACTTACGAGCACCTTGACCTGTTGTGGCAGGCTCCACAGCACCATTGTCCTGATGCTCAGGACTACTAGAAGGTACTAGTACCCGACTGGTGGCACCAGTGTCGTTGCCCTGCGGAATAGTTGTTTGAAGAAAGATGAGTATTTATTTATTGAATCTCATTGTGACACAGTGGTATTATGCATCATCTGCCTAGTTCTTGGGATATGTTCTGCATACATGATTTTCATTACTCGTAACAGTTTGCAATGGTACAAGCTTGGCAAGCAGTAAAAGTAAGGGGGGGAGGGCAATTTTCTGAATTAAAAATAGTCTTGCATTTCCCACATCTTTGTAACCCGATCATTTCCTTCTATTTTTCAACGCGCAACATGTACTATCGGGACCAAAAGAATAGAAACAAAGCAGCGCATAATACGGCGTGCAAGTGAACCAAAATGCGCCTTTCGCGTAGGAGAGAGTTTGTACGAGCTTCCGGGAAAACATAAATACGCATAAACAACGTGCCAATCAACGCGCAATTTAGAGAATACTCAAGAAACACACGTTTACGAAGCAGCCAGGTACGCGCTGCCACTGGTTGATCTCAGATGGCAAACAAGAGCACGTGGGCACATGTCGGTTGTAAACGAACGCATGAGATACGTGAACAGTAGACGCACTTGCACTCCGTATATATTCCACCCACCCTTATTTCGCCAAAGACCACCGTGAAAAGACGCTCAAGCGCTCCTGTTCTATTTCATCTGGTGCCGACGGATCACAGTGTGCACAGTAACGGCATTACTGTTGCTTGTGAAAACAAAATTAGGCTGCGACCTTCCGGGGTCCGAAATATTGAGACTAACCCTCCATAAAACAGGAAATAACTGATCTTGACGACACTACTGGCACTGGGATTATCTATTATTATACATTACGTATCGATTGCACTTTTCGTGGGTATCGGTACGTCCGTGTTCGGTCACTGTCCAAATAAATCCCTTTACGTGGACAGCTCCTGCTCATAAGCTTCGCG